GCCAGGGAGAGACGAACACTTGCCTGAAAACCGGAACTCAGACTCCCATCCGTGCGTGCGGATGACTGACGAAAACTTGTCTCGGGTCGAGTACTTCTTTCATGTTGAAGTGACGATGATGAGGGTGGTGATGGTGATGGTGATGACGGTGATGATGGTGACGATAGTGACGATGGTGACGGTGGTGGTGGTGACGATGGTGATGATGGTGACAATAGTGACGATGGTGACGGTGGTGGTGGTGACGATGGTGATGATGATGGTATGATGATGGTGACGATGGTGACGGTGGTGACGGTGATGATGACGATGGTGACGATGGCGATGATGGTGATGATAGTGATGATGGTGACGATGGCAGTGGTGGTGACGATGGTGACGATGGTGACGATGATGGTGATGATGGTGATGATAGTGATGATGGTGACGATGGCAGTGGTGGTGACGATGGTGACGATGATGATGATGATGGTGACGATGGCGATGATGGTGACGATGGTGACGGTCGGTGATGACGGTGACGATGGTGATGATGATGGTGATGATGGTGACGATGGTCATGGAGGTGATGGCGGTGGTGATGATTTACTAAGCACCTATCACATTCTAGATGGTGCTGAAAACTTTATACATATCGTCTCATTTAATTCTGTTACTCCGCCATGAGAAACTCGAGTCTTGAGAATTTGTTCAGAATCGCACATGGTAACAGGCAGAGCCGGGATGTCAAGCTGAGTCTGAATGACCGCAAAGTCCATGCTTACAGACGCCACACCGCATTGCTTCCCTGCACGGTGTCAGCGGAGATGGGCCATTATGGAACCCGGCTTATGTTACACTTAACCTTGTCCCTAGTCCCAGTAGCCTAGTTATCAGCAGGGGTTCGCAGCGCACTGCGTGAAGAATCAGACTAGCTCCGTGAGACATGCGCAAATACCACGTCGTGGACAAAACTGGAGTAAGGCGCGGGGTCTCTGAACTAATACCGTTGCACTTGAAAACACATTCTCTACTGGGACATCTCACTCTCTTGGCCTGAACTCGGCACTTTTAGCCGCCTGCCTCGCGGGACAGCTACATACTCCTTGGGGAGCCGGGTCGGCCCCCTTGTCTCACAGATGTCGTTGACGGCATCGCTGGTGCCAGACGAGCATCCTTTTGGCCCCGATGAGTCCACCAGCACAGAGACTTACCAGCCTCGCTGAAGACCAGGCTCTGGGTGGGGGGTCTCTGAGCTGTGGGGTGCAGGGCCAGCAAGGGTAGACCTGCGTGTTCAGTGGCTTCCATTTTTCTACTGTTTCTCCTCTTGTGGGTGTTTGATTTCCCTGCAGCTTTTGGTGCTCACGTGATGGTTTTTCCTTTGCCATTCTGAAGACGTTCTTCCAGAAAGATCCTAAAACTCCTTCCCACCGAGGAGGGACTGCGATCACCCCCTGGGACAGGGGGTGACCTGGACACACGCCACCCCGGCTTTTAATTCTGGGGACAGGTGTAAAGTCCGCGGGACGCGAAGGGCGGCTGAGAGTGCACGTGATGTGTGCTGGAGGCTTCATGTCCTTCGGGAGGTCCCCTGGCACTGTTCGCCGCTTAGCGAGCCGAGGAATTCACGTGAATGTAAATAGATAGTTACTTTAATAGAGTCATTTTATAGACAGGCATTTTTGACTAATTACCTGTGTTACCTGTTTGTTCTCGGTTATCCGTATCTGCTAGTAATCGAATGTAGGTCCTCTGCGGCCTTCGAAATGGTGACATCCAGAAGTTCTCCGGGTCCAGACGGGAGGGATGACAGCTAAGACATGGCAATCAATGCCTAGTGGGCATTTATTTCATGCCCAGCCTCCTTCTGAGAGCCCGACTGTCAGCTCGTTTTCCGGCAGCTCCGCTGACCTGGGCTCCCTAATATTCCGATTCTGCAGTTAAGGATCCGATTCTGCAGTTAAGGAAGTTGAGTTATAGAGCTGTCAGTGGCTTGTCCAAGGCCACACAGCCAGGAAGTGTGGAGCTAGGACGCTTCCTGGGGGAGAGGCCCATGCTGCGGGGGGATCTCTGGTTCCCAGTGGGTCTGGAAGTCTCTCCTGAGCCCGTCCCGGAGGCGTTTGAATCAGGGGCGTCGCCTCCACCTGAAGCAGCCGTGCCGGGAACGTGGACCCGAGCACCTCGTTAGGGAGGGGCGCAGCTCCAGGCGGTGGCTCCGAGGGACTCAACGCCCTGTTTCTGCTTCTTTCAGGCAAAAGTGATGACGAAGAGAGTCTCTGCAAGTCCGCCCACGGGGCAGGGAAAGGGGCCGCCGAGGACGGCAAGGACCATAAGCGTCCCAAACGGCCCAGGACCATCCTGACCACCCAGCAGAGGAGAGCGTTCAAGGCCTCGTTCGAGGTGTCGTCCAAGCCGTGCCGGAAGGTACGGGAGGAGGGGGCGGCCGCTCGGTGCACCCTGACCCCGCGGGGCGCTGCTGGGCCCCGGGCTCGGGCGGTGGCGGACGCAGTGCTACAGCCTGCGCAGGTGGCCCCATCCCTGGGAGGTTCTGGGATCCCTGTGGCGTGGCCTGTAGCAGAAGCTGGCCGTGCCCGCCCAGGCCGGTGGGCCGGCTGCTCACGGCTCTCACTGCCTGGGGGGAAGGGGACCCGGGCGGTGCAGCCGGGGTGTGGCCCGCGGTGCTTGACAAAGGGCGACACTGCGTGGCTCGCGGCGTGCGGCTCTTTTTCGATTTTGCTCTTTTCTCTTCGGGCGATTTGGGGGTTCGTCCGTGGGGTGGTTCCTTCATTTTTGCTGTTGAACAGGATTCTGCCCTCCAGACGGTCCACAGTCTGTCTGTCCAGCCACCCACCGATGAGCGTGTGGGTTATTTCCAGTTTGGGGTTGTCACAGACCAGGCCGCCGTCCAGGGCTGAGCCGCTCTGTCCATCACTTAGCCCAAGGGGCCGCTTTCGTTGTCGCTATTTTCCCAGTGGTGAAGGAGGAAGTGGAGGCCGCAGCTGCCTTTTTAGGGGCAGACCCAAGGCTTCTCTGCGTCCCCTCCACGCCTGTGTTGGCCGTGATCTAATCCCCCGCCTGCACCTCCTGCAAGGGGCTGGGACGTGAGTCCTGAGGATTCAGTAGGAGGAAGGGGAGGATGGGTACCGAGGACAGGTAGCAGACTCTGCCACAAGCAGCTGCGTCTGTTTATTAAGCCTCTGCCATTTATTGGCTGCTTATCATCTGCTGGTTACTGTCATTTATGCGATAAAAGTTAGAAAGCCTTTTAATTGAAGTTCGTGGAGGGAATACATTTAACAGTTTTTAGCATGCTTTTCGCTGCATCTTTGTGTGTATTAGTCAGCTTTTGCTGCAGCGACAAACGATCCTGGTGGGTCTCAGCAAGCACTGATTTCCTGCTCTTGGGTGGTGCTGTGGCTGCAGCCCAGCCAGGCTCAGGTTTGGGCCTGCTTTGCCGGTCTGCCATCAAGCGTGCAGGCTGACAGAGCAGTGGCCACTGGGCCTGCTGTTCTCATGAGCATGGCCGAAGGCAAGAGGCCACGTGACTCCAGGCAGGCCCATGGAGGCCACGTGCGTCGCATCCACTTACTGTCCATGGCCAAAGCAAGCCGCGCGGCCAGTCCGACGTGAGCTATGAGTGTCTGGGGCAGCAGGGGAGGGAGGGTGGACATTCGTTGACCTTGGAAAGGTTCCCACACGACCCCTGTCTCTGGCCTTGCTCCAGGCCAGGTGCTGGAGGGAGGGGAACGGCCCCGGAGCAGGCCGTGCAGGGCGGGCGAAGCACCTTCGTTCGCGTGTGCTCAACTCTCGGCCTCTGGGTGGCCTGTGCCCAGTGCTTGTCCCCGGCCACCTCCAGACCACTGGCGGGGAGAAGATGGTGCACACATAACTGCAGCTCTGGGGAGAAAGCTCTGAGAGCCAGAGGGGTGGCCAGGGGCCACGGGCGCCGAGGGGAGGGCAGGGCAAGGCGACTTTTGTCCAGGGATCAGGCAAGGCTTTGCGCAGCAGGTGGCTCTTGAGCGGGCCCTCCGGGGGCGGATAGGGTTTCAGCAGGTGGAGCCGGGCCCCTGGGTGCACTGCCCTTTCAGTTGGCTTGGCAGAAGGAGGTGCTTTGCAAACTTGGTCTAATTACCCCACTTCGAAAACCCAGTCCGAGTGGCTGGTGAATGCGAGGGCTCCCCCAGGCCTCCTGCTGACCCCGCTGACGTGCCCGTTCACCCGGTTCCTTCCATCCCTCGCTTCCCCGGGATCTGCCTGGGGCAGGGGCATCTCTCTCTGGCCCCTCGCCGTGGGCCTGCACGGAGGGCATGTGTTTAAACACGTCCCTTCGCTGGCGGGCTCCCAGAGCCTGGGCCTGCACCGGAGCGTCCCGCCCCGCCCCGCCCCGCCGCAACCCGAAGGCTCCTGTCTCACTGTCCACGCAGGACTCGTGTGCGGTGACAGTGACGATAAACGTTCACGAAGCCCCAGAGGCCCCTAGAGCTCTGAGGGACAGAACCAACCACTTAGGTCGGTGAATTTGGACAGGAGAGGAGGGTGAGAGAGAACCATCTGTTTTGGCGATGTGATGTTCGCCCTTGGCTGTCCTCGAGGGGGCTAATGCCCGTGCACGGCGCTGGCTGAAGCTCAGTGGGCTCTGCTGACGTCCGCAAACCCCCCGAAGGCCTGACTGACAAGCAGGGGAAACTCAGGACCACCTCTGGGAGGCTCCTCTGAACTGCGGGTGACTCCTCCTCCCGTCCACCTGCTGATCCCCCCCTCCCCCCCCGTCGCCCCGGGCTAGGGCAGCCCCCGGGTGCTCGGGGTTTTGCTGGATACTGGACACGTCCCGGCTCCTACATAAGACGCGGCCCACGGGCCTCCCCGTGCCCTGCGCAGGATGCGTCCTGCCCCCTGGCCGAGACGCCCACCTTCTCACGGTTCTAATGCTCCGTTTCTTCAAGGTGAGGGAGACGCTGGCTGCGGAGACGGGGCTGAGTGTCCGCGTGGTCCAGGTGTGGTTCCAGAACCAGCGAGCCAAGGTAGGCCGCGTCGCTCGGCCGTCCCCACGCGGCCGGCTGCCTGACGTCACACTCGCCACGGGTGTGCCCGCCGCGCCCCCTGAGCACAGTACTCTTGGGTCGGAAATTCTCTGAGCAGCAGCCATGTCAGGCCGGGGAGCCGCGTGGCAGGGGGGAGACGGCGAGAGGCTTTTATTTGCTTAGTGGCCACGACTGGACCTGGCTGGCCGTCTGCATCACGAAATGTCTTCCTGTGCCTTTTGGCAAAAGCAAGTTCTTTAATTCACGTTCGTTTAACCCAGATACTGAAATCGTATTAAAATTTCGAAGAGGAGCCTACGTGGCAGCATGTGGCTGGTGGTATAAGAGGATGTCGTGGCCCCCAGGCTGGGCGCCCACCCGCCTTGCCCGGCACGCCCCGCCGCCGGCGTGGGGCCGACACCAACACACACATTAATAGCTCATGGAACCCTCGTGGTCCACGGAGCACAGTTTGAGAAACACTGCATTAGAACGTGGCTTCCGGGGAGGTTGGGCACCGACGGTGCTTTGGGGGGTGAGCTTGTTCCCTGGAGGCCTGAGTCTCCCTGTGGCATCCCCAGCCCGGGGCCAGCAGGCCCCACGTCCCCACGCTCGAGCCGCATACACAAGTGTCACGGCACAAGCAGCACTTTGCACACGCTCGAGCCGCATACACAAGTGTCACGGCACAAGCAGCACTTTGCACACGCTCGAGCCGCATACACAAGTGTCACGGCACAAGCAGCACTTTGCACACGCTCGAGCCGCATACACAAGTGTCACGGCACAAGCAGCACTTTGCACACGCTCGAGCCGCATACACAAGTGTCACGGCACAAGCAGCACTTTGCACACGCTCGAGCCGCATACACAAGTGTCACGGCACAAGCAGCACTTTGCACACGCTCGAGCCGCATACACAAGTGTCACGGCACAAGCAGCACTTTGCACACGCTCGAGCCGCATACACAAGTGTCACGGCACAAGCAGCACTTTGCACACGCTCGAGCCGCATACACAAGTGTCACGGCACAAGCAGCACTTTGCACACGCTCGAGCCGCATACACAAGTGTCACGGCACAATCTGCGGGTCACGGCCGGGGACCCGGTGCTGTGCCTTGCACAGGACGCGTCCCCCGCTCAGGGCCCGGCACTAACCCTGTGGCCCCTCCCGCCAGATGAAGAAGCTGGCTCGGCGGCAGCAGCAGCAGCAGCAGGATCAGCAGAGCAGCCAGAGGCTGAGCTCGGGTAAGCTGTCGCCACACGCCTGCGGGGCCGGGCCTGTCCCGCCCAGGCCCTCGCTGCCCACCCCTGGGCTCCGCGAAGCCCAGTCCCTACCCTCATGGAGCTGGGCCCTTCCAGTGAGCGCTGAGCTGTGCAGAGCTGTGACAGGCTTGAGGGCACCGGCCGCAGGCTGAGAGCTGCTCATGGGAGGTGGCACCAGCGGTGTCCAGTGCCTCCCGGCCCTGACCCCGCGCCGGCATGGCGACAGCACCGCCTGCCCTGTCTCAGCCCGCCCAGCCCTCCTCCTTCCAGGCTCGATGCCGCCGTGACTACCCACGTCCCACGTCCCGTAAGACAGTAAAACCACGATGCTCTGATAGTCCCCGGCCTCGTCGCTCACGTTGTCCCCAGTGCGTTCTCACTGCCGACTGGCTGTCACAGCCGTCACCTGAGGTGAGCGGACAGCTTGTCATTGTCCCTGCCTCGCACACAAAGGCTCTGCCACACCGACCCGGGCCCTATGTGAGGGGCGGAGCTGCCGCTCGAACCCCTCTCTCTGGTTCTGGCTCCCACTGGACCCGGCTGCCCCGGCTCCCCCCCAGCTGCCGGCACCCTCGTTTTTCTAACAAGGTGCCGTGAGGATTGGGGTGGAGTGAGGGACAGGTGCGGGAGCCCCCGAGAAAGTTAAAAGAAAAAATTCAGGGATAACTATGAGAAAATGATGTCGTTCTTAAAGGGATACGCTCCCAACCCGGCCACCCAGCGGAGCCAAGGTGGTCTGTGTGTGCCCCAAACAGAGTGCTCACCCCGGTGTGCACGCGGGTCACTGGCATTGGGTGACGCACAGATTCTGTCTTACGGTCCAGGCGAGCCCCGGATTCTGCACTTTTAACAAACTCCCAGTGCTGCTGGTCTGTGGACCACACTCCGAAGGCCGTGGGGTGTGGCACTGGCTCTCTGGCCCTGGACAGAGCCCCTCGTCCCTGCACGGACCCCACCTTGTGCTTGGTGCCTGGGCTTGGCCCCGTCTAGGACTGGATCTCGCAGCCCAGGGCCCCCGTAGCGTCTCAGCAGTCTGTCCAACGGCATGTAGAGATAGCACAGGACGGCCACCCAGGGAGAGAAGAGAAATGGCGGGATCGGGGGACAGCGGTGACCGCAGCTCCGCCCCCCGCGTGGCTGGAGCTGGGACCTGCCTCCCGCGCCCCGGGCTGAGACACCGCGGTGTGGCGAGCACACGACAAGTTGGCTCCTCCAGGCTGACGGGCCGAAGGGAGGGACGCGTCGAGGCCGCGTGAGAACAGGCGCGGAGCACGTGGGGCCTCGGCAACTGGCCAGGGCAGCTCCCGAGGAGACGAGCGCGGAGGGCACGGGGCGGGGGCCTAACGGGACTGTGCCCGGAGACCCCGCGGGCGGCGGAGGCGGCCCGTCTGTGCACGCAGAGGCGGGCTGTGGTTCCGATGTGCCACGCGTGGGCCGGTGGAACCCCGACGTCAGGCCGGCGCTATGGTCCCCTGGCCGGTGGGCTCTTAGTGGGGCGATGCCGGGAGGGTCTCCCCTTCACCTGCTCCGGCGGCCGTGACCCTGCGCAGCAGCGAAGGCCTTTGTTCTGATGATGTATTTCAAGGAAGCCATTCAGGTTCAACTGCCCCCCATCACCGTCCTCCAAGGTGCCCCGACGTTCCCCATCGGGCACAGGCTGGGACCCCCGGATGTCACCTCCTTCCCATCCACCCTATAAGTGAGGGAGCCAAGCCCCAGGAAGTGGAATAAGATGACGCGGCTGTGGTCGCCCAGCCCGTGTGCTCAGCACCCCGCGCACCCTCCGCACGGCCGCGCCCCGCGGAGCCCTCAGACGCTGCGCAGGCCCGTCCTGGGGTGCGGCTTCTGAGGCTGTGCCGTGGAGGACGTGGCCATGTCTCCTTCCTGCTCGGTGGGGTCTCGTGCTCTGGGGGAGCCAGCTGCCACGGTGTGGGGACACGCAGTGTGAGGGCCCCTGGCCGGGCTCTCCCACCCAGCACTTCCCACTGACTCGCCTGTGCCCATGGAGCCATGCCGCTGCACAGGCCCGTCCTGGGGTGCGGCTTCTGAGGCCGCGCCGTGGAGGACGTGGCCATGTCTCCTTCCTGCTCGGTGGGGTCTCGTGCTCTGGGGGAGCCAGCTGCCACGGTGTGGGGACACGCAGTGTGAGGGCCCCTGGCCGGGCTCTCCCACCCAGCACTTCCCACTGACTCGCCTGTGCCCGTGGAGCCATGCCAAAGGCCAGCGCCGGGCAGGGCCCCCGAGCTGGGGGACATGCTGTTCGGGAGATGCTGCGTGTCCCTCCCAGCGGGGGCTGCTGGGCGGCGTGTGGAGAATGACCTGCCATCTCCTCATCCCGCAGCTCAGACCAACGGTGGCGCCGGCGCTGGGCTGGACGGCATCATGAACCCCTACACGGCCCTGCCCACCGCGCAGCAGCTCCTGGCCATCGAGCAGAGCGTCTACAGCTCGGACCCGTTCCGGCAGGGCCTCACTCCGCCCCAGCTGCCAGGAGACCACATGCACCCTTACGGTGAGCGGGCGCAGCCGGGCACCACCGAGTCGCCTCCGCCCTGTCCGTCTGTGGGCGAGGACGGGACCCGGGGCGTGACGCGGTCTCGCTGTGCTCACGCCCTGTGGCCACCGGAGTCCCTGGGCCACGCCTCTGTTTGAACGGTACATTTCAAGGACGTTCTCAGGTTCAGCCGCCCGCACCCCGGGTCTCCAGGGGAACCCCGACGGCCGTCAGGCCCGCCCCCCAGGGGACCGCACGACCCGCTCGCTTAGGTCTCTCATTCTCCCCCAAACACATCTGTGGTCCCTCAGGCTCCCCCGCTGTGAAGCACCCCAGGGGCCCTCGAAATGCCGTGGGGCCCACCCCGCCCAGGGCCCAACCCGCCAGGGCCCTGCGGTCACGGAGGAAGGACCAGCATGGCACCATCGGTGACACGTCCGTTCACGCTCACTCAGCGCTCTCGTCCGTCACTGTCACATGGGGGCTGTGCCGCAACCGTACGTGTGTGCGTGCCCCAAGGCCATCCCTCCCGCCAGGGACCGTGTGCGCTTCTGGGCCGTACCAGCGTCCCGTGGGCGGGAGGCCCTAACTTAGCAAACAATGACAGGGAGAAACCACACAGAAGCGCAGAAAGCAAGTGTCCTAACTGGACCGTCATGGACAGCAGTGAGGTGCCCTCAGGGAATTGCTGGAGCCTCAGCTGACTCGTGACGTGTGACCAGTGCCCCCACCCCATCCCACCGCCCTGAACCAGGCTCGCTTTAGATGCTGCTGTGTGGAGGGCTGAGTCCCACCCCCGAGTGGCCAGCTTGCTACCTAAGCTAATGTGGCCTGGGCAGCCCGATGGGCTGGCCAGCTCTGCACCGGAGGGCTGAAGGCCGGCCTTGGGGCCTAGTACAGGGGACCGTGTTTTTATGCACAGAGGTCAGTGGCCTCTGCATTCACCTGTACGTGAAAACTGCCATAATAACCCTGGTAGTGAAAAGTCGAGTTAGATTCAGCCGCCTTCACAACATTGGTATGGAGACGTATGCCTCACTCACAGACTTCGTCAGATGACTTCTTTTTTGGCTCCATTTAAAAAAAATTATAGTTCAACTAAGCCCCGTCTTTTCCCATGATGCATCAGGCAGACGCTGGTGACCGCCTGGCCCCCTCAGGAAGCCACGGCCACCTCATTCTCTCCCACGTGGACGTGGGTGTGCCTGCTCCCGCGGGAGCCACCCCCTCAGCTTCCTCAGAGGGCAAGTGTGACGTCAGCACCGTCTACACTCCGCGGCCGTGGGAAAACTGGGCAAATGACCTTTCTGCAAATTCTTAAATCTTCAGAGTCCCAGGGGTCTTGCTACATAAAGAGCCCGGTGATGAGTCCTTTAGGAAAGCGAGTAATCGAAGCCACAGGACAAGCCTGGGACAGGGCCGTTTCCAGCTCTCGCACTTGCTTGGAGGTGCAGTGCTTGCGCCTGTAGCTCCCGGTCCCGCCCGGTTCCCAGCTGGGCCTCCATGTGCCCAGAGGCTCCTCTCTGGAGGCCCCGAAGCTCATCGGCTCTTGGTCCGAATCGGGCAGACAGCTGGCGCTCAGCACACCTGAGCGTGCCGTGTCACGGGTCACGAGTCTGAGATGGGGCAGAGCCCACGCCGTTGGCTCGCCTCCCTCCCCGGGGACCGTGTCTGAGGCGGCCGTCCCCACACGCATGGTCTGGACGTCTGGACATCGGCCTCCGTCCACCTCGCTCTAGCGCCGTGTCCTGTCCCAGTTGACAGGTGCCAGGTGCTGCCCTTCAGGCCCGAGACCTTGGGAGCCCTGGTGAGCACAGACTGTGCTCCGTCCCTTTCCCTGTAGGTCACCCGGCCCGTCCCTGCAGACCCTCCCCCGCAGACCCTCTCCCGGGAGCCGGGCTGGGGCCGGTCCCCGCGCCCAGCGCCTCACGCCGGTGTCTCGTCTGCCTTTCAGGTGCCGAGCCCCTTTTCCACGACCTGGACAGTGACGACACCTCCCTCAGTAACCTGGGCGACGGCTTCATGGCCACCTCAGAAGCCGGGCTGCTGCAGCCTGGGGTGGGCAACCCCATCGACCACCTGTACTCCATGCAGAATTCTTACTTCACCTCTTGAGCCCCCTCCCCACCCCAGAGCTGGAGGCCGGGCCCCTGTGTGGGACGACCATACCTGCGAGGGGCGGCCGGCTGCAGGAGGGGGGCGCGGGAGCGGCGGGCTGGGCGGGGTGCTGTTGGGGGTACTGGCTCGGCATCCCCAAGGACGTGACGCGTTGCATAGTTTATCGTTCCTAGTAAGAGTCCTTAGCGTTAGGTCTGAAGACGTGTCTCGCTTGGGACAGGGACTTCTACTGTAGACATGCTCGTGCAGACTAGGTACCTGGAGACCCTAACAACTTCCCACTGCGTTGGGGACGCTCGCGGCGAGGGGCCCACGTCTCTGCGCGTGCGCCGTGGGCGTGCGCGTGGGCGCGGCCTCTCTCACTCCCTCGTCCAAGTGTATCCGTGATTATGACAGACACCAGCTGTACAGCAAAGTGACTTTATTTTCAGTGTGAGCTATATTTAAGGAAATGCTTGATGCACTTAAGTTATAAAATGAGATAATTTACTTTTATAAACTTTATTTGTAGTTGGAGGAGACTGGCCGGCAGGGCAGAGAGGGCTGCCCACCCCCCGACCGCAGCTCTGCGTGCTCGCGTGAGGTCTGTCGTCAGGGAGTGTGGCCGAGGTCTGGGCAGCGGCTCGCGTGGCTGGCCGAGTTCTCACGTGGGGTTGTTGTGCTCTCTTTGGGGTTGAATCACTGGGTTTGGGGGACAGGGCCGTCCCTGATTTTGTTCTCAGAAAGTGTCAAGCGTAGACTCTGCGGCTTGCTTTTCCGTTCTGGCGTGTGGCGGTGGGTGGCGTGAGGCGTGTCGCTTCTGCCCCTGGGTGTCATCGTCTGCACGTGTGGGCTGAGGCTGACGGCACGCACCTACCTCACTGCGGGGCCCCAGGCTTAATCGCCCCCGGGACGCACAGCAGGGCTGAGATCACACCCGAGATCTCTGTAAAATACAACAGGGTGGTCCGAGGCGCGGACGCGGGGGCCGCTGAGCAGGAGGCGCCGGTGCCCAGGGCAGCCAGGGGGGCACCGGGGTTCTTCAGGGGGAGGGGGCTGTGGCTGACGGGACGGAGGAGGCCACCATGCTGCTCGCGAGCAGCGGTGGCAGACCACAGCCTACAGGCCGGTGTTTGTGGCCTGCCGCTTGGGACGGTGTGCACCGTCTTTAAGGACTGTTCAGAAGGGAAGAGGGGGGTGACGCGGGTGGCCCGGCGAGGCTGCGACGCTGCCCTCTCCCTGTCTGGCTCCCCCCAGAAGTGCCGCCCGCTCTGGGGGCATCCTGTGCAGCCTCCAGGCTCAGGGGCGGGTGCGGCCGGGACCCAGGAGCCTCTGCCAGGCTCGCTTTGCCGGCCCTGAGCACAGGAGGCCCAGCAGCCATGTACGCGGGGACAGGTGCCCACCCTGTTCTCCGCGCGGTGCTAGGATGGGCTGCCTCGGTGCTGGGAACCCCAAAAAACCAGAGTGAGGTGCTGGGGACGCCGGTGGATGGCGGGGGCTCCCCTGACAGGGGCCAGGGCGGGCCTGGCCTCACTCCTGGCGACGCCGTCCGTCATCAGAGCCAGGACCCAGTGGCTCGTCCCCTTCACCCTCAGCCAGGCCAGAGGGAGCACAGCCCTTAGTCGCGTCTGCGTGTGTGACTTTGTGTCCTTATTTATAGTTTACGCAAAGCGCCAAGAAGCCCCACCCGCCTGGCGAGCGGGGTCAGGCGGACGCCGCGGAAAGGCCCCTGGCGACGGCGGCAGACTGTGTGCCGAACCAGCAGAGGTCCTCGTCCTTGTTACCTCTGGCGACCGAGATGAAATAAAACCTTACAAACGAGCTGCTGTTTGTTCAGGGGCAGGGGACCAGGGGACGCGGGCGTTTCGTCAGAGGGACATGGGGCGGAGCTCGTGGCGAAGCTTCACGTGGTGGGACAGAGCGGCTTCCACACGACCAGGAGGAAGCGGGCTTCACGGGGACCCCACAGCGGGAGGCCCAGCACCGTCACCCCCCGCCTCACTGCAGGCCCGGGCGTCGGCGGTGTGTGCGGCTGCGGCCGGGCGGTCAGAGGGGAGTCACAGGGAGGACAAGGGAGATGCCCGGTGGGCGGGGCGCCGATGGCTGGCAGGGGCCCCTGACAGAGCCCCACGGTTCTCATCCGTCCTGACTGGCCCCGGGGTGGGGGCTGCCGTGACTGGGCGGAGAGGAAGCGAGGGAGTGGTCGGTTAGACCCCGGACGCCCCCCGCCCTCTGCGGTGGCGGCCAGGTGTGCGCTGCTCACCGCCTGCGACTGTCCAGGCCCCATCCCCACCCCCCAAGGTGGGCGGTGACCTCGCCTCTTGCTGAGGGCCTGGATGGAGAGTGGTGACTCGCCTCTTGCTGAGGGCCTGGATGGAGAGAGGCGACTTATGGGGCTGGACTAGCGGGAGGGGACATAGAGTGGCTAATGCCACCCACTGCAGATACCACCCCCCTTTATAATAGCTCAATAGCAATAGAAACTATATTTTTGCTCACAGGGAGGACCTGGGAGGGGTTCGGGCAGAAGGGCACCCCGTCCCCCGCGTAAGGAAGACCCTGCTCCCGGCGTCCAGGCTGTCCTCGGTGCCTGCTTGTCTCTGGCCCTTTCTCTTCCCCTGCGAGCGGGCGCCTCCGGGTCCAAACCCAGCTCCGCCGCTTCCTGGGTACCTTCCTTAAAAGACAGCGGGCGTGGGCCCTTTTTCTCTGCTCTGGGCCACTTTCTTCTTCCTGGCCGGAATGCAGATGTGATGGCTGGAACCGGAGCAACTATCTTAGGTCACGAGATGGACTTGTGTGCAGAAGTCACACATGGTGAAACGACAAGGTACAAAGAGCCTGGATTTCTGGGAGCCAAGTGGCCATTCCCACCTCGAACTTCTCACATCTTAACGTACATATGCGAGGGAGAAATAAACCTCTTTTTTTAAGTTACTGTTGTCTTGTGTTTCTTTGACTCATGATCACATCTAATCTGAACGGATGCAGAAAGCGAACCCAGTTCGGAGGAAATCTAAGCCCATTCCGTTCCCTTCGGGCTACAAAGGGATCGAGGGAGGGGTCCAGACGGTTCGTTGCTAGGTGGTGGGAGCCCACAGAGACAAGACAGGGCGGGCCGATTGCCCTGTGACCTTAGAACACACAGATGATCCGGGGCCACAGACTGGGAGCTGGGGCCTCTCATCCCTCACAGAAAGGAGGTCGAGGTGAGTTTTTATTTTATCGTTTTCACCCACCTCCTCTCACCAAACTTCTCTGAGACTCCCCTCCCCGCCCCCACGTACTGGGGTATCTGCGGCCGGTCGCCCCGCCTCCTGAAGGAGCGTGAGCGAGCGATTCTCTACGGCATTTCTTGGCTTTGGCCACCAGTGCGATGAGAAATCATTGTCCATGTATGCGCACGTATACACACGCTATTCACACACACGTGCGTGCATAGTATGCCCGCACACGTGGAGCAGGTTCGAACGGCCACGGTCAGCTGCCCTGGTCGGCCAGGTTTTAGTTGTAGATCCAAGCTGTGGTCTGGACGGTCCGAGATGGCGTTAGGTGCGCGTGGGATCCGGGAGGTGGAGTTAGAATTGAGTGCTCTCTTCATCCCCATGATTCAAACGCTTTTTTTGACCATTTGCTATTATTCGAGGGGGGAGCAGGAAATGGGCGAGAACCTGTCTGATGGGCGGTCTGGGGTGAGTTGCTGAGCCCTGCTGGGTCTGGGGGTCTCGGCGTCTCTCTGTGGGCTGCATCAGCCTCAGGTGCTCCTGCCTCGTCCACGTGGGAGGTTACTGGGATGGAAGTGCGTTTGGCGGACATTCGCTGACAGGGATTGTGTCAGGGGTCCTGACTGGCCACAGATCTAAGCCTCATCCTTTAATTAGATTTACCAGCAAAGCTGTTTTTTTCTAAAAAAAAAAAAATCTCCATTTGACTGATTCCTTTGTAATACTTGCCAGTTAGTCACAAACTTGGGAAGCAAAGACAATCATGTTTTTATCATTGCCTTACAACACTGACAATTAAATTCCTGTTAGGCGTACCGCACACCATTCAGTGGTTGCGTGGTGAATGCACGTAAATGCTTTGTTCCTTCATCCACTCGACATTTAAGGTAAGCTTTAAGCTTTTCAGGAACTATCTCTGTGCCAGTCTCTAGCCCGGAGACGTGAGTCTGAGTTTCAGTTTGAAAACTCAGCTTTGCGAGAAACGTTACCTTTATTTTCTTCGTGGCGAAAAGTTTTGTAAACGGATCGTCAGGATTAAATCGGGCGTTTAGCAAAGGCGTGTGCAGAGTTCCATAGAGGCAAAGGAGAGAAGGAGGTGGCATCGAGGTGGAGGTGACATTTAATCAGGGCCTTGAAAGATGAGGATGCCAGGAGCAGGTGGGGAGGACGGTCCAGAAAGAGGAAGTAAAGAGAGAATGAGCAGCACTGTTCAGGGCAGGCGGCCTTGGGGGCTGGGACACGGGGAGCTCGGGGAGGCGGGGG